TTTTTTTTCTTAGTTTTATGATTTTTGGGGAGATCTTTATATCGGTGTTGCTTGTCAGGATCCTGTGCTGTTGGGAGTCTGGAAGGTTCAGGTGTGTGTGTGTGTGTGTGTCTGTGTGTGTGTGTGTGTGTCTGTCTGTGTGTGTGTGTGTGTGTGTCTGTCTGTCTGTGTGTGTGTGTGTCTGTGTGTGTCTGTGTGTGTCTGTGTGTCTGTGTGTGTCTGTCTGTGTGTGTGTCTGTGTGTGTGTCTGTGTGTCTGTGTCTGTCTGTGTGTCTGTGTGTGTGTCTGTGTGTCTGTGTCTGTCTNTCTGTCTGTGTGTGTCTGTGTGTGTCTGTGTGTCTGTGTGTGTCTGTGTGTGTGTCTGTGTGTGTGTCTGTGTGTCTGTGTCTGTCTGTGTGTCTGTGTGTGTGTCTGTGTGTCTGTGTCTGTCTGTGTGTGTGTGTGTGTGTGTGTGTGTGTGCGCGCACATGCAGACTCTGTCCACCATGACAGTTTGCTCCTGCTGGACACTTTGCCGCCTCTCCCCTCTCCTCCCTTATTTGGCACATTTTCCTCTGATTTCTCTTTTCCTCCTTCTCTCCCGCCCCGGCGCTCGACCCCTCTCTCACACACGGGATGTTTCTTGGCCCCATGCGTGTGTGTGTGTATGTGTATATGTGTGAGTAATTATGTCACCCGTGTCCCCGTGCTTCTCGCCCACGCTGAGGCAGCGTCACTCGTACTGACTCACTCAACCTGTTAGCAGGGGGTCAGGGGGGACCTTTCTCCCCTCCAGAAAAAAGATACCCAGCATGGGGCCTGACACAGCTTTACAGTTCACTGCACCCAGACACCCCCCATCTTGCTCTCGGGACCCTTGGCCCACCCAGTCTGTCTATCTGTGTGTGTGTGTGTGTGTGTGTGTGTGTGTGTGTGTGTGTGTGACTTTCGGACACCTTAACGTCCGTGTTTGTCCTCTTTGCTCCATTTCGTTATGCCCACCCCCTGCACCCGTCTCCCCCAGGGGATTCGTGACCTGGCTTCCATAACGTCTCGTTGCCGCCATCGGCATGTCTGGCACCGGCCGAGATGCACGGATGCTCCTCGCCGCCCCGGTGTCCGCAGGCTGCCTCTGGGTGCTTAGCCTCCCTCTCGACGGCCACCTCCTCCCCCCAGTCTTTGGTCGAGGAGAATAAATCGTGCTGATGGAGTACCGGCGAGCGCTTTCACGCGTACTTCACTCCGTAATGTAATAAATACTTTCAAACGCTTTAAATGGCCCAGCTTGGCCTGCTTATCGGAGACTTGGCAGGGAGACTCAGGCAGGCAGGGTTTGCAGGTTCTCCGCTCTCCCTCCGCGCCTCTGAAGCCCCCCGGCCTCGGATGTGTAAACGCGGGGACGACCGTCAAGGTGGGGCACGCAGCCAACATCATAAACATGGCCGCCACAGTGAAGCGGGTCAGAGAACGTTAACACGTCGTTATCTTTCAGTGATCATCAAACAGTGGCAGCTGGGTGACCGTTTAATGGCTGCGGGAGGAACAACGCGACGGGGCCCCTGTCGGGCTTCCGCAGCCATTCCTGTGTGGACAGCAACCGGGGTGCGGTCAGCCATTCCGGCCGCTCCTGAGCTTCCAAACGGAATCGGCTGGGAGTGGCCCTGAGCGTGAGGAGGACTTCATGCTCCATGTTGTACTTCCCCTACACCAGTATGGAAGTTTCCAGCCTGGAAAGGGACAATGTTTTTTCACTGACTGTACCAGAACAGATCACGCGGAGGCTTCGTTCCTGACCGGAGGGGGTCGTGTTACTCTGCCGCCGGCGTGTATCTCTCTGCCTCTGTCGTGGGTCGAGGTCACAGAGGTCAGCAGGTACCGTCCAACTGACCAGCTGACGGCCAGGGGGTGGTTTTTCAGGTGGCCCTGATCGGTGAAAAAATAATAAACATTGTTTCAGAATAAACAAGTTAATAATGATGTTTACTGGGGGAGTCTTGGATGTGCATAACCTGGAGTACAGGGTTCTACTCCCTCCCCCAGGCATTGTGAATGCCCCCGTTTCCATGGAGACCGATTCTGGTATGGCAGGGGTGTTTGTGAGTCCACCCTGTCACTCCTGGCAAGATGGCGGGGGGGTGCCCTACGTGGCAGAGACCACAGGCCGTCTTGCACCTCGCCCAGTAATCAGTGCCTGACC